CAATCCAAATGGGGGGGGGGGGCAGGGACTCATTTTAATTGATTGGATAGGATAGGAAAGAGGTCCAGCACCTCTCATACAGAAATTCTGTGTTCTTTTCCACAAAGGTCACCAAGAAAGAGTCTTGATTGGTTTATGCATGTTTGCTTTTAGAAAGACAGTAGTTTAGTGAAGAGAAATCTGGAGAGTCATGCAGGCATGCTAAAGCTCAATTCGAAACCCCAAACAGAGGGAGGGATTCACAGAGAGAAACATAGGAGGGATAAAAAGAGAGAGACTAGGACACAGTAAAATGCAAAGAAAAAAAATGCCAGAGAGAAGAGGAAGGGTTTGAATAATTTGTTTTTCATTCCTGACGGTTTAAGATGAGGCTACTTTATGATGCATTTTGCTAGATGCCCGTGTTGCCAGCACATGGCATGGAAAGAATAGCTCACTTGGAGGCAGGAGACTGGGAGTCTAGTCCCAGACTTGCTACTAACTACCCGCGTAACTGCAAGTTTCTTCATCTGTCAAAGCTCCAGTTTCCTCACTTGGAAAAATCAGAGAGAAGCAGGTGATCTCTAAGTTTCCATCCAGAGTTAACCTTCTAGGATTCCCTTTCTCTGCTAAACAAGGTGAAGTGGTACCTTTGCACTGCCGATAAGGACTATTCTTAGGTCTTAAACTCCTCTGTTTGTGATTGTTAATTTCAAGCTCTTGGGGCTGGTAGGCACCGACTGATGGATTTTACACTTTCTCTTGCTAAATCAGTTCCCCAGGGCAGCAGGATTGTGAGCCATTAGTAAACCACCCTACTCTGGGAGAAATAAAACAGTAAATGAAGGAAGGAAAAGGGTCATTAGTATCCAGGCTTCTGAGGGAAGGGTTAGTGGGAGAGTTGGTGGCAAAAAGATGACCAAACAAATTTTTTTGCTGGGGAAGAACCTAAGTTCTTCTGAATTTGTATGATGAATTTGTACAGGTCCTACATATTTATCTAGAAGCCATGATTAAGTATCTATGTGAACAGATTTGGTCCCTGCCATTTGGTGGCTCCGAAGCCAAGGAACACACACAGACAAAACAGAAAATAAAAGTCATTGTGATATATTGTGAAGAACTAAGGACAGCAAACTAGCAATCTGAATCTAGATTTAGGAAACCTACTAATTAGTTACGTGACTTTGAGAAAATCACTTCCCCTCTATAGAATTTAGTTTCACACCTGCAAAATGTAGGAAAACTCTAGAACTCTAGTTCTTTCAGTTTTATTTTAAAATCCTCACCTGAGGCTATTTTTTCCATTGCTTATCAGAGAAAGTAGAAGGGAGAGAGAGGAGAGAGAGAAACATCGATGTGAGAGAGACACAGTGACTGGTTGCAAGTCTGCAACCGAGGTACGTGTCCTTGGCCAGAATCAAAACCAGGGCCCTTCAGTTCTCGGGCCATTGCTCTAACCACTGAGCCAAACTGGCTAGGACTCTCTTTCAGTTTTAAATATAAATAGAATAGATTTGTCCTTCCTGGTTTGCCATTGTCTCCTGTGACTTCAAGTAATCAACCAATATTTATTGAG